TAAAATTACAAGATGCATTTAGTAAGACATGTATTTAACTGATTTGTTTCTTCATCAATAATTACACCATTTCCTTATTATTGCTTATTAGCAATGACATGAAAGAATAACTCACAAAATCATTTTGGGAGCAAATATAATAGACTCATAAGACTGGACCTTGAGAGGTCATCAAGTCCAAACCCCCTAAACTCAACAGAAGGGCCAAGCACCATGTAGACCATCTATGACAGATGTTTGTCTAACCTGCTCTTAAAAATCTCCAATGAGAGCGATTTCATCTGTACACACTGGATCAGGATTTATACACAAATACCCTTTGTATGCCATAGTGCAATTTACTAAAAGGATCAAATCCTGGTCTAATGAAAATTTTGCCATGGACTTCAGGGGTTCAAAATTCAGCTGTAAAGTGTAAATGGTCATGCATAGCTTCTAAGGCCTTAATCCTGTATTGTGATCCAGCTTGCCCATGAATTCAGTGAGTTCCCATCGGGTCTCCAACCAATATAATTGTACAATACAGGATGGAAGGTACATTTGTTCTCACAAAACTACACACACAAACCCTGAATTTGCATCTGCAAATCTTGTCTGAAACATTTAAAATACAGTTAAAGGAAGAGTAGAACATTCTATATACCACACTGATTAAAATGTGAATTTTTCTTTTGTGTAGTACATACATTATATATAGCTTGTTCCACAAAATTAAGCACCCCAACCTTTGTACTTTTAAATCAAATTTAAAAATTAGATTCTAATTATTCTATATATGCACAACTATGAAAACTTCATTGAAATAATTAAAATTAAGCAATAAAACAATAAACCCTTTTATAGGGTTCCAGTATGATTTACTTAAAAATATTTTTAAATCATTCTGTTATCCATATTTTGCTGCACTCAGTTGAGATTTTCAAGCACTCATCAGTCTATAAGGACTCAAGTGTATCCATAGTTATCGATATGTGTACAGATAACCTCATGCTCGTGCATGTATTATTGTAGACTTCAGAGGTCATAAAATGATCTGTCTGCCATGGAGAGAGGCATTTGGACTCATCACTGCCACATAGCGCCTCTGTCCTCACTTCAAAGTGATTTGAGGGCACCCCAGCACCTTAAAGAAAGTGCTTCACAGCTTGCAAGTTTGAGCCTTTTGTCAATTGCCAGTTGGACTACAATAAACTTGTGAATCAGCAGTTCCAAACATTTGATCTTCTGAAGCATCAGATGTACTTTAACTGCTTTGGAGTTAAACTACAACTCTTTGTTGCCTAATTAGAGCCTTTCTGTTAGAAGGACAATGAGCACAGGAAACACTGATAGGTAGAAATAGTGTGAATAGTCACTTTTTTCCTATTTCAAAGTGACCACAGAAATTCAATACATGCATGTAGGCAACTGTAGGATGGGGGATTTAGCCCTCTCCTTCTCTTCAAATAGGGATTGCATTAATAGACGAAAGTGAGTTCGGAACCAAAACTCCTTTAATTCGCTTTATTCAAAGTGGACAGATTTCAGTGGTACAAAATTATTAAAGGGATATTCGACAGCTATTGTTTTATATTTAATTCTAGCATGTCTCCCCCCTAATTAAAAGGTGTCTACACCTGTATAATAGTAAGCATGGACTTCTTCCCAAATAACAAAGCTCTGATAGATTTCAATGTGAGAGGAGCAACCTTAGAACTCACATTCTAAAATGGAGTTTATTGAAGAACTAACCAAGGGAAAGTAAAATGAAAAATAATCCTATTCACAATTCAGTGTATATACATTTATGCAGATTTTTGCTGTTAGCTTTAGACTTTGCTCATGAGTTTCATTTCAGTTTAATGAAAAATACACTTAGAAAGTATATTTAAATGAATCTGATCATTACAATTATCTGGCAACAAAATAATATAGTAGGTAGACCTTTCTCGTCATTAGCCTGCTGTAGTTTTGAGGCCTGATTGATCATTACAAATTCTAGGGAGCACAAGATGCGGATATAAGAAACGAGTGGGACTTCATATATATGATAATTATTATAAATGTAAATATCTCCTGTTCTCAAACTATATGTATACATTCCATGTATCATACGTTAGTAAAAACAGAGGGATATGCACAGAATCCTTAATTACTCTATGGTTTCAACCAACTAATTGGACCTGCCAAAAATATATTTAATTTTTCTTGGACATTAAAAGCTCAGTCCTGCAACCTATAACTCTACACAATTAGCTCTTACTTTTATGACTAGCTCTGGCAAGTTCAGTAGAACCACTTGCCTGAGTGAGGGCTTGAAACCTTACTCACAAGTCTCAGCCTCAGCCACTCGGAAGCCTTTGAAAAACAAATTAATCATTGTTCTGCTAGATAAATATTGATATATATATTTCCAAATACTTAATTTGAAAGTGAACCTTAGAAAATGAACTTTGACCACTTTATGCTTTGACATATCTCTGTACCAAACATATTCGTTTATTATGGGTGGGTGAGGTGTCTCACCCCTCCAGGACAAATTCCTTTGGCAAATTGTCTCTCTTGGGACAAATTCTGTGCTGATCTATAGTCTCCGAAATCTGAATTAACTGGGGTATAAATCAGCATAAAATTTGGACCACTATGCGTGGCAGCACAGAGAGTATCTGCATATCATTCTTTGCCTAATCTTTTCTAATATACAATGGCTATGCCAGCCTATGAGCATGGAGTTTAAACAATCAGAGGACATGTGTTTTGGGTACATAAACTAATAGACAAAGATCAACATGTAATAGTGACCACTGTATAATACCTCAAAGAGGCACGGATCACTTGCTGGAGGATTCTCTGCATCTTGAGGTCCTTAAACCATTTGAGGACTTCAATATCTGAGATATAGGTGAGAAGATTATTCTAGGAGAGGGTGGGTGAGATTCTGTGGCCTGCATTGTGCAAGGGGTCAGACTAGATGATCATAATGGTCCCTTCTGACCTTAAAGTCTATGAGTCAGCCTCCACCTATAGGTAATGCTCAAACCTATATGCAGTCATGGGGAACTGATTGTAGAATGGCCTCAGACACAGTCTACTAAGGCTGCCAATGTAGGATGCAGAAAAGCTACTGCTTCCACAGCTCCAGCTGCTATCAACACCCACCTTCGGGAAACAGGACAAAAACCACACTCTGGATCCTCCCATGGCTAAATGCAGATAATCCAGACCAGTCCCTCCACAAAATAAAGTGAGCAGCATAGAAAAATTAACACACCCAGTCACTGTAGATGCTGTGGGCACTGCAAATGGACATGATCCCTCTTCAAAATGTCAAACACACAGAGCATGCCCATGTACTTCTCCAAACCCTTGAAAGGAAAGGAAGCCAAAAAGGGGACCACAGCCATAAACATTGGAACTCCTTTGCATTATCCACAATAGATTTGATGAAGAAAATTGCAAAATAAATCCTGCATGATGGATGTTGAAGAGGAGCCTAGTTACATTTAGGCATCTGGGAAGGAGAAGGAATCAAGTCAATATTAAATGATGAGCCTATCACACTGCCCAACTCAATGATTGACAGTGCAAGTACTGAAAGATACAGTTATCAAGATACAGTCTCCCTTACTTACATAATTGACAACATTATTGTCCTACTGTAATACTTTAAGTAAATAGCATTTTTGTTTTTTAATTACCTATTTCATTAAGGTTGGAAGATTTACACAGACTGGTCAGATTTACTTCTTCACGGGCATTTTCACACTTTCTGGCTCTCATACAGTTGCACAAATAGGACTGAAACACTGTGGAAAGGATTTTTAAATCCAAATGGCAAACTGACTATTTAAAACATTTCTATCACATGTGGACCTAAATGTTCTCACAGTAATCTTTTAAAGTCTCCACTTTCCCAAAGATTTAATGTATTTAAGGATATACATGGGAGATTATTCAAATAGTCTGTATTCCCAAATCCTTCTCCCTGATCACTGATTTTAAACTCAGAATAACTGTCCCAAAAGAAATGTTAAAATACTAACAAATACCCTGCCACCAACATAACAACCAAACACTTTACAGACAACACGTGATGCATAAAAGAAAACAGGACAGCTTTTGAATAAAAAGGTAATTACGAAAAATAAAAATTCACACCCAAACTGTGTTACAGGTGTTTTGCTATCCTGCTTCAAAGGAGCATTGGCCTAATTTAAAACAAACATTTTAAAATGTAGTCATGTCTGCTATATAAAACATGCTCAAATATGGGGTATATGCACCAAATTTAGTTATACAGTTTGGACACAATGAATACAAAACTACTGCAATGTTTGCAGGTCTTGCTTTCCTGATTAAAACAGGAAACTTGCACACTTTCTTCATTCTTATGCCACGTGTTTGCCTGGTTAAAAATCAATAAACTTTACAAAGCAATAATTTGTTTATCCAAATAAGCACGTCAATACCAATTAGGCTGTACCACAATTACCAAATACCTAGAAGCAATTTCAGAAATTTAGGGAGAGATACTGATTTCAACCCCTTGTTCTACTCAAGAAAATAGTTGTCCTTCAGGGTCTGATCTTGCAAATATTGGAACTACTTTCAGGAGTTAAGAGTTTGCAGGATCGACCCATGATCGATGTATCAAAACAAGAGTCTCACGTTACCTGGCTTGAGATGAGCAATAGAAGTAAAGTTTATGATGTAAATAATTTGCATTTCCAAGAATTTACTAAATACAGCCATTATGCTGAAATTATACTTTCATTATTTTAAAAAAATATAATTCAAAAGACACTCTCTCTACTTTTTGTGGATAATCTACAGACTAAAAATACAAAATCAACTTTCCTCTTAAATAAGCAATATGAGGATTATTCTGGAAGTCTTCACAAAGTAAAGATTTCCAGTAATATTAATATGACATTATTAAAACTCTTATTTCATTATAAATGGGGAAAATATATCCAAGTCCAATCTCTATTCATGCCCAATCAAATCACCACACAAGCTAGTTTTTCTGTAATATTTTATTTTATTTATATAGAAATACTTAAAAAAACATGAAGTAGCACCATTACTTAAGTTTTACCTTTATTATGTAGAACTTTAAATGTCAGAAAAATAAAACTCTTGATACAATTTCAAATCTTGTCTCAGCAAATATAATATTAGTATTTGACCATGAGGTTAAAGGCCCTTTATCATAAAATAAAATATACTTTGTTTTTAAACTTTGCTCAGTAAAGTACATTTAAGCTCAAGTAACGTCACCTACATATACATAAACAAGTGGTAAACAAATGTATTAAAATAGAAATACTAAAACTATAGTGGTGCAACAGAATTTTTGTAATTTCCACTGAATTCTATTTATACAAATGTTAGAAAGCTTCAACAGTTCCTTTTGACATATGTTTATACATTTCCATTTTTGTAATAATATAGAATAAAATATGCTTTATATCACTGAATAGAAAATATGCTGGGTGAAGTAGATTTAAAAGATTTTTTCTGAACCTATAAAATCTCCATCCCAACAGAATACTGTTCAAAGCATTACACATTTTATGGTTTGTAATTCTGTCCACAATTGTGTGATATTAAAATAATACAGTGTTCTTTGCCATAAGGCCATACTAAAATAAAAAAGATTTAACCCAGCTACAAAAAGTTCACTGAACTTAAATTAAAATACTTGTAAACATCTTTGCAATATGAAATATAATTTTTCAAGTCAAAAAAGAATAAAATACTTCAATCTGTATTAATGCAATTTATCTTTAAAACCTTTAAACGTTTTTAATATATATAAGAGATATGTTACAGTTTATTTTAACTTTGATAAAGCTGCAGTATCATGGTTTTCACAGGAATTTCTTGCCCTTTCAAGAACATTCAAAAAAGTATCCACCCATAGATTTAATTAGTTTGTTATAAGCATTCTAGGAACTACCAGCACGTTTTACTAACAGTCCACACACCATCATTATCATCATCATAAGCATTTTCTACTTTAAATGTAAAAAAAAAAAGTCTTGGAAGCTTCGTATTACAGTGTAAAAACTAGTCTAGTACTAGAATGTAGTCGTTCGTTATTATTTATAGCATGCATCAGATGTTACAAATATCCCCCTAACCCACCCTAGGCTACAGTACACTTCAATGCAAAATTAATCCTGCAAAGTTAGGTCCCCCTTTTCAAATGTGCGGATACTGCAGCTTTAAAAGCTCATCGCCTCCTCCTTCCCCCCACGCAGTCCAGAACCGGGCTCTGCGTTTGGGGACGGGTTAGGAAAAGATACGGATGGCCTGAGTAACTGCGCTGTGGCAGACGGGGCACTGGGGCTCCGTCTTCTCGCAGATGCGGTTGGCGCACTCCATGCAGAAGAGGTTGTGGCAGCAGGGGACCAGGGCGGCGATCACTTCGCTCTCGAAGCAGATGGAGCAGTCGCGGCTGCCCTTCCTCCGCAGGCCGGAGGAAGAGCAAGACGAGCTGGAGGAAGAGCTGGACGAGGAGGAGGAGGAAGCCGAGGAGTCGGAGGGCAGCCCCGGCAGGTGCGCGCCCAGCCCGTTGGCGTAGAGAGGGAAGGAGGCAGGAGAGATCAAGCGCCCCCCTCCTCCGCCAGGGTCGCTGCGCCCCCGCCGGGCCAAGGGATGCTCCGCCACGCCCCCGCTGCCATGCAGGGGCGGGGAGAGGCGGGGCGGGGGGGCCCCCCCCCCCCGCCTCTGCGCGCTGCTGCCCAGCTGCAGCGCCAGGTTGGCGTTGGAGGCGGCGGCCGGGCCGCGCTCGAACTGGGACCAGAGCAAGGGGGCGCCGCCGGGCGGCGGGGCGGGGGCCAGGTCGAAGGCGGGCGGCGAGTCGAAGGGCAGCTCGGCGCAGCAGTCCGGGGAGGAGAGCGCCTCCCCGCCGTAGGCGCTGCTGTTGCTGGTGTTGTTGTTGTTGCCGTTGTGGGTGAAGCTGAGGGCCGGGCTGGGCGGGCTGTAGTCGGCCAGCCGGGCGCTGCCGCCCCCGAAGTAGGAGTCGGTGGAGGCGCTGCCCAGCGAGCTGGAGCTGTCGTTGCGGTAGCTGCAGAAGGGCTTGCGGCCGGGGCTGGGGGTGATGCTGGGCGGCGTGGGCTTGCTCCACAGGCTGCCCGGCCCGTTCAGCTCGAAGCCCACGTCCGTGCCGTTGGCGTGGAAGTCGTTCTCGTCCGTCAGCTCGATGATGCCCCCGGTGCGCATGGCGATGTGCGCCTCGATCTCCTCCCGGGCGCGGTCCACGTTCTCCGGCATGCCCGTCACCTCGAACACCGGCTCCTTGTCCCGGCTCGGGGTCACGATGTACGTGTGCGTCTGCTGCTGGATGCGCTTGATCGTGGCCCCCTTGGGCCCCACCACCAGCCCCACCACCCGGTAAGGCACCCGCACTTGGATGGTGGTCTGGCCTGGCAGGGTCGGGGCCCCGGCCACGGTGCCGTTCAGAGCCGTGTTCTTGTTGCGGGAGGCTCGGATCATGGAGAAATGTCAGGGCCACATGTTCCTTTCTGCCCGTCACAACAAAGAGCGGCGCCTCCCCGCGAACCGGGGTCTTGATGTAGGTGTTGGTCTTCGCCCGCAGAGCTTTGATTTTACAACCTGCGAGCGAGAGGTGGGAGGAGGGGGTGGAAGCAGAGAGAAGGAGAGAAAAGTAGGTTACAAAGGCATTGTTGGGGTGCAGCGAGGGAGAGCAAAAAGCACCCTTCCACCAGGCTAGTGATGGCATTTTCCTAGCAAGCCCAGCCCCGATACACACCCCCACACATACTGCAGTTGGCCAAGAACATGTTCGCAGTGCAACTGACCGAATATATACAACGTGCAATTCAACGGAACAAAAACAATCCATGTGCAAGTGAAAACTGGACAAGCAAACATGAGCAGCCCCCACCTCACACAAATACATTAGTATTCCCACGCGCCTGCTAATCACAATGGTGTTTGTTATTATTATTTGTCAAATAAGCTAGGAAGCAGTAGCCGAATTGAATAAACCAGTTTTCCCACTGCGGATGCTTTATTCCAATCCCATTGTTCCACTTCACCACTCATTTGTTCCCTTAAAAATCCGTGATTATGAGCAGCCCCCACCTCACACAAATACATTAGTATTCCCACGCGCCTGCTAATCACAATGGTGTTTGTTATTATTATTTGTCAAATAAGCTAGGAAGCAGTAGCCGAATTGAATAAACCAGTTTTCCCACTGCGGATGCTTTATTCCAATCCCATTGTTCCACTTCACCACTCATTTGTTCCCTTAAAAATCCGTGATTTCTAAAGGGAAGATCGAGAATCCGATTTTTTCAGTGCATTTGTCAATGGTAATGATCTGTCCTGACAGGAGAAAAGTGAGGTTTTTATTTTCGCTGGTAGCCGAAAGTGCATCTTGGAATGGATGCATACTGCGCCTTGCAAGCACCGCGTCTACTGCACTTTCTTTGTCTGTGGGAAACCCAGTCCTGGCCATAATAACACTGCAGTTTTACTGGGGATGGCCAGTGTCGCATCTCAGACACAGACCAGCCAGCATGGAGGGGGGAATCTCTGTCACACACACTCCCATTCAGTTACCCACCTTGCCTGCCCACGATCTCTGCGACGTGCTCGGAGCTGGGCACCGGGACGCATTCTGTCATGTTCACGCTCTTCTTCCGAGGTTCGTTGTCGTAGATGGAGCTCGTCTCGTCGTTATCCAGCCCCAGCAAGGAGAGCTGATCCAGGGCTATCTGAAGGGCTCTTTGGTCATCCAGGGTCTCTCCCCCTCCACCTCCTCCTCCGCCGCCGCCGCTCCCGTTTCTCTCCATGTCTGCAAAAAGCGAGCTGGGCATAGTCCCTGTGTGTGTTCCACCCTCTTTCTCCTGCGCTCGGTTCAGTAGTAAAAGATCAGACACAAAGGAAAACCCAAGGCAGATGGCCAGCAGGAGAGGAGGAAAGGGAGGGAAGGCGACTGCTGGAGACCGGGGATCAGTTGCCTTTTGCTTGTATATTTTGTATCTTTTTTTTTCAGTGCAATCCGGTTTATAAGATGTTTCCAGCACCCCCCCACGACTCCCCCCAAGTTTTTTTTGGCTGGGGGTGGGGTGGGGGGGAAGAACAGCGAGCGGAGCTCCGATGGTTTCCCCCCCTTGAGTTCCTGGCTGGCCACAATGCCAAGCGATGGCAGCGTTTCTGCCTTTTGCTTGTATATTTTGTATCTTTTTTTTTCAGTGCAATCCGGTTTATAAGATGTTTCCAGCACCCCCCCACGACTCCCCCCAAGTTTTTTTTGGCTGGGGGTGGGGTGGGGGGGAAGAACAGCGAGCGGAGCTCCGATGGTTTCCCCCCCTTGAGTTCCTGGCTGGCCACAATGCCAAGCGATGGCAGCGTTTCTTTAAGGAGCCCCTCCCAGACTCCACTCCACTCACTCAGCGTTTTTTCCTCTTCTCCCCTCCTCGGTCTGACCTACTGCTGCGGGGGGGGATCAGGGAGCCGCCGCGTAAGCGGCAGGAGCTGACAGCACAATGCTACTGACACTATCGCTGTGTGAGGCGATTGGACAGGCACAGTGCAGAGGGGCCGGCATTAGGCTGGCTGTCCCACTCCCTCTTCTTCTCCCTCCCCTCCCCTCCCGGCAAACTCCTCTCTTTGTTGTCTATTGCAGAACAATAAAGACTAGGCACTGGCTTGTATGTATCAACCTGGGATGCATCACTTCCCCCCCCCATTTCCCTTTTCTCGGGTTAATTGTTTTATTAAAGAGCCCGACTTGCTTTTTAATCGATTGTGCAAAAGGCCGCAGGTCAATCAACCGAATGGACCCATCTTTCCACTCACCCGCCTTCCAAAAAATCCCCCCAAAACCCACGTTTTGCTTTTCTTCTGGCCATCAATCACGAAGTTAAAGGTGCTCCTTGGCGGGGGGCGGGTTATTGCACGGCAGCGCGGTTGTGTGCATTGTATTGGCTGATTACACGTTTCCCTGGGCAGCAAGCAGCGACTGAGTGACTTTCAAACTCAGCAGTGCCAGGGAGACTCGGGCAAGGGGGTGTGAGAGCAACATCTGAAAGCCAGCCCCCCAGGAGAACAATGTCACCGTCCCTTGCCCACACTGCTGGCGGCGAAACCCCCCCCCCTCCCCCCCACATCCCTACTGCAATGCAACGACCGAGGAAAGAGACAAAGGTGGATTTCGCACCGGATGGGGGATACACTGCACTGCACTCCAAGCCGTAGCGAACAAGAGCGGTCCCGGGGGCAGCAGCATCTCACGGCAGAAGTGTCCCAGTGACAGAGCTGCAGCCCCAGTTCCCAGGGAGGTCTGATTTGCCGGTCGTTTTAGCACAAAGCTTCCCAGCCCTGCTGGGAGTGTCCAGGGCAGAGCTCGGTGCCTGCTTGGAACTGGTTGGCTTTGCGCCTGCGCCCCCTAGCTCCGCTTCGCCATGCGCACTGGCCTTCCAGGATAGGGTTAGGGCTGAGCCGAGTCCCGCGCTCCTTGCAGAGAGCGCGAGCCAGGTGCCGAATGGGGAGCTGTCCGCGCGGCGCTGCCGGGCCGCGGGGGTGGCGTTCACTGTGCCCCTCTCCGCGCTCCTCAGAGTGGGAACAGGGCACCTCCCGCGAGATTCCTGCAAAAGCGGGCGCAGCCCCTGGAATGAGAGCCCCCGGCGAGGGATCATGGCATGTCAAGGCTGCAGGCAAAGCACCCCGAGAGAGATCCCTATTGCCCCCCAGGAAAGGGAGGGCGCACCTAACGGAGAGGGACAAAGCACCCGTTGCATGGGGTGGGTAGTACAGATAGGGCAGCACTCCACTAAGATGAGTCCCCATGGAGGAATATAGCTCTCGCCCCGAGGGCAAGCCGTGGGGAGGGAAAGGGGGACCCCACCCACTCAAGGCCCTCCAGGGGAAGGACAATGCCAGTGCACAGTGCTTTCCCTGGACACCTGCAATGAGAGCTGCCCTAGCAGCCCTAGGGGTGCCTGGCTTTGCCCTCCATTAGAGCTGGCCATTGGACACTTCCTGGTCTGCACACCTGACCAGTTTGCACATCACTGAGGGTGTAAGGGACATGTGTTTAAAGCAGGATTTTTTTAAAAAAAATGTTTATTTGCAGTGACTGCAGCAGAGGGAAGAAGAGCCAGCCTCCTGCAAAGGGGCTTACTGCCCAAAGCCACATCGCTTGAGGGGCAAGGGCAACAAGATTGATCCTAAGGGGAGGCATGTGGCCCACACAAAGACAGACCTCACCCAGGAATGGGTCACAGAGCCTGCAAAGGGCCTCTTCTCCATCCTAATGATCTGAATCATACTCCTTGCAATAGAGCAGCACAAACAAATGTCCTGCTGGTACAGTAGGTCAAAGAAATAGCTGCTTCTCCAAGCCTCCATCCCTGCTGGTCCTGACAAACCCATGGAGTTTGTGCATCTTGTACATTATGGAGACTATTGTTATACAAGTGTCAGAGTGTGCTGTAGGAGACACAAATAAAGCTATGCCTTCCTCATCAATCATCCTTCTACTTGTTCATTGTCAGGCTGGGGTGAAGCTAAACACTGAGGGTCTACAATGCAATTGGTAAATATTTATGAAATGCCTTGGCATGTTAACATTTCTATTCAATAGAATCAAATCAGAAAGAAAACACCAAACATGGCAAAATGCAAATAGGAAAAATAATGCTGAAAAGGCAAATTGTATCCTAACGGCCCCCTTCGACGATGAGCAGTTGGAATTACTATACATATTTATATTATCTCTTTCATTGTCTCCCTGTTTGATCTGATGCTTTGTGTCCAAGACCTACCCTGTGGCCTCACCCTAAGAGGTCACTAAAGCACCATATCCAACTGGTATCTTGTTGGGGTGCAAGATTTGATGGTAGATTATCAGAAAAGTATCACTGTTCTCAAAAAAAAAAAGCCACCATTCACTTGATTATTTTTATCCTTCAACTTTTGTAAAATACACCTATAGGCACTCACATTTGCTCACTCAGTTTCCTTGCCAGCTGTCAAGTACCACAACACTGACTTTTCTTCAGGGAAATTGACTAGTAATTGTTTTCCAGTGTTGAGTTTGATAGGGACAGACATGTGAGTAAAATGTCTGTTTAGCCAGCTGCCTGTACAAATAAGTGTAACAAGTCACAGGTAATTGTTTACACCTAGTGTTTATTGCAAATTGCTGTCATTTCCTCAGGATGTTTGCATGTTTTATAGCAAAGCTCCAATGGGGTGTTTTCTAGCCAGGACATACTTTGGAGATGAACCTTCTACAGTGTCTGTCCCAATTCCATGGCCTGATTGATTTACAATCAATTTTATTGACAACAATAAAAATGAAATGATGATCTGGGTCTATGACCTTTCTCTGGGTTTCATGGCATGCCAGAAAAACTCCTGTTTAAGAGATTACTTATTTTACACATTTACTATTCACTTCTACAGATAGCAGTACAGTAATGGGTTCCACAGGGAAAAGTATACATAGGTAAAACTTTCCTTATACGTTCTCTTCAAGGTTCCCTAAATTTCTTAAGTATGTCAGTATTGGACATCTTTTTAAACATGGTGAGATAAACATGCTGAACCAGATATTTGATAGCAATAGCAAATAAAAACCAATACTTCATCTTCTATAGGGCTCTTCATCCAAGGAGCTGAAAGAGCCTTATACAGATGATGGGTCAATATCTCTGTGGGGTAGGGAAATATTATTCCTATTTTCTAAATAGAGAAACTGAAGCATGGAGATGAACTGACTCTCCACATGGGGGAAATAGAAGTATTTATAAGGGGATGGGACAGCAGGCAGTTCACGAGAGTGAATTGGTGGAATTCTGTAGTTTTATTCCTTCTCCCTGACTTTTAAGGTTTCACATAATAGCATAAGTGTAAGGATCACTCATGAAAAAAACACTAGACTTGTGCCTGGGATAACACTTGTACCTTGCATTTCTGTCTGATTTCTTTCATCATTCTTGTGCAATCTTTGCATTTTTGCCAGGATGGGCCCAGCTTGCTTTCTGACTGGGCCCCTGCCCAAAGGTGAGAGGGAAATGCTTTGTTACTGTCCTTTCCTGCCCCACATAACAGAGAAAGGTTTACCTGCTTCTGTTATGTGGGGCAGGAAAGGACAGTAACAAATACATTAACTCTAGGCTTACCTGCCCCCCTCTTAGCCCTGGTCTACACCCTTATTTCAAAATAACAAGCAGAGCATCCATACTACCAAGCCCGTTACTTCAAACAATAGGCTGGTTATTTCAAAATAGTAATTCCTGTTTTCCATGAGGAATATCACTAATTTTAAAATAGTTATTTTGAAATAGCAGTAGTGTGGATGCTCCAGTGCCGCTATTTTGAAATAACTACTTCCCAGAGTCATTCAAAGTAATTACTCCCCAGTGCTTCCTGGGGTTCTAAGTCCACATTAACAGCCCCTGCCTCAGACTAATTTCAATGCTTCCCCATAGTGTGCACATGCTATTTTGAAATAGTTATTTTGGGAGTTATTTCAAAATAAGTTATTTCAAAATCATTTCCTAGTGTAGACATGCCCTAAGGCACATATTCTACTCTCAGTCAAAATAGGGTTTGCAATGGTTTGAAACAGCTCTCATTTTATTTTATTTTTATCCTTAGCTCACAAGCTCTAAGTGAAATGTAGTTTAGCCTTCTCTGCAGAATGACTTTGATACATCTAGTGCAAGACATTTTCTGGGGACTAATTATGAGGTGGTATTTCTCAACTACCATGAAATCTCAGATAAAGATCTTGTTCATTATTTCTTTTATACTGTTCTAGGACACATTTGAGAGTAAACTACTAGGGGAGAAAAAAGTTACACTGACATGCATTAGAACATGGTATATACATGGAGAGAGTGGGGAGACCTGGACTAGGTTCTGTGGAATCTGGAATTCATGTGGTCACGGTGCTTATATGGCAGTGACCAAAATAAATAAGATTAATGTGAATTCTCATTCTTCTACAAATGCCAGGATCTGTTCAGGGTCAATATCTGTCCCTTAAAATAACTAAAGATACCAAAATAAAATATTTTTCATGTCCATAACTTATTTCATTTCAAAATTCTAAAGCACTTAGAAAAAGTCTATTCATACAGAATTACTGAAAAGCACCTACCTCTGGGGTAAACACGCTATCAACCAGTTTCCAGGAGGGGAAGATGCATTTTGGTTAAGCACACTGCTGAGTGAGGTGTAGAGGGAGGGGCAGAATGTCATTCTCATGCTTTCATTTAGCTTCTCTGTGATTCCATTTCCCATTTGTAAGATGAAGTACTACTTGCTTTATCCAATTGTTTGGCTTGTCTAGTTAGACAGTAAGCACTTTGAGGCAGCAGTTTTCTCTTGCTATGTGTATGTCCAGCACAATAGAGCCTTGAATTCATCTTGGTACTCCTATAAATACAAATCATTAATAGTATTAGGATCTATTGTCCA